CATTTTTTCTTCAATTTGAGGCATGATGATGGATAAAAATAAATATGTGGCTTACCTAATTAATAAATGAATATTTGTTGTAAAATTGTTATCAATGTTATAAGTGTAGCTACCAGTTTGACCACCAATTTTGATTTCATTCCTTCAAGTTGCACACTCAATCCTTTTTTGGCTGCACCTTTTTTCAAACCAAAGGTGTTTTTGATTAGATATCATGACTTTTTGTCAATACACACCAACAAATCACAGCAAATAAGAAAGTTACACTTTATAGTAACCCATAGTAATCTATAGTATATAGCTTTAGGATTGAAATCCTATTATATGGAACAGACCTTTACTTTACAGAACCAACCAGATTCTTTAAAATATATATGGAGGTAGTTTTTCTTCTCTAAAACAGTGTTAAAAGCTTTCTTTATAGTAATGCATTAGAATTTAGATTAACAGTTTCATGTAATCACCCCAATGCAATTGGTACAGCCATATCAAGCATCATTATTTATGGTAATTACTTAAGCTAATATCATGTGATGCTAAAAACTCTTTAATTAGGTAAGTAAATCAATAATAACCATCCACCAGTATGAATCTTTTGAAAACTTGAGCTAGAAACTGCTAATCTTGTTTGCTTGGCCTAACCAATACTTGTGTATCTGTGAAGCAATTGAATATGTTTGAGGAAATTTTACAATTGCTTCAGGATTTTTTTAATTGAAAAGAGTTTAAGAAAAAAAAGTTATAACAGTTTTTCAAGTTTAAGTGAACATATACATGTAGAAAAGAGGCATCAATGGGACGTCTGTATTGCGAAATGATACCGGGAACTAGGAAGTCTGGGTTAGAAAGGTCAGTAGCATAATTACGTAAAGACATCGCCTAGTAACAAAGTAAGTGCACGAGCACCCGTGACAGGTTGATGGATTACTGACGCTAACTCGCTAGCACTAGGAAAGCTATGAAAAAGTCATAGTTAACAAGCAAAAGCGGTACTTTGAGGTAATATCGCTTACAGGACACGGGTGTAGCAGTACAAGTAAATAGGTAACTGGTTAACTCAACAAAACAGTGACCAAATTCGGTGATGAGGAACCCACTTTGAGACTAATAATGGCTGGAGATGGCTTGAATGGGTAATGAAGAAAAACTTTGATATAAGTTTAACATAACAGCAAATGTACAAGGTTTTGTCATCATCAGGTACTTGGATAACCTGATGATGACAAAACCTTGT